ACAATAGTTTTGGGGAAGTTGGGCTTTATTTGTTAGAATTTTATTTATTTATTATTTCGATTGAATGGTTCTATAAAGTAATGAATTTTGATTGCAAGAAAGAATGAAGAGAGCCTGGAAATGGGTTATTGAATATTGTGTTTAGCCTATCAATGGGCATTTGTGTAATATCATGAAGCTTCTGTTCCATGATCGACAGTGTAGTTCATCTTGTCATTTCTTTAATAATAGATACTGAAAAGAAAAAGACAATGCTTATTTATCATCTTACTCTATCAATGATTTAAAGTGGACTTTAAATGATATTGAAGACCTACAACTTATTTACGCAGCTTCTCCCAGACATCGTTAGTCAAGAAATTCAGGTTAACATATTAAATTTTGTATATTGGAATCTCCAATTTTTTTCCTTGCGTAAATCATAATTCTGAATGTGTCATTCCATTCAATAGGTTAAGAAAAAAATGTACAATATGTGTGAGTACCAAGTACCATTGTATATACCTGTCATTTGTTTTTGGAAATTACAACCTTGAAGAAATTTTAGAATTTGTAATCTAAGTCTCTGTGAAATGCAGGAACTACTGAATGTTTTGTATTTAGATTACTTTATTGTCTTGAATCTATTCCAAATTGTAGAAGACTACGACTATCAAATACAAAATACATAAAATATAAAACGCTAACTTCACCTTCAAAATAACTCACCCCGTACAATGAACGGGTTAAAACTAGTTTCCAGAAAAGACCCATTGTATGTATAAATTGACCTCTCTCTCTCTCTCTCTCTCTCCAAATCAATTCAAATTGATTTATAATTACTTCCCTCTCCAATTTTTTTATGTTCGATATTTTGGCATTTAATACCATCCAATTTAGTAGAATATTGTCAAGCTTTAGTTCGCTCGACAAAATTAATATTATGCTATTTTAATTTTGAAAGACATACGTTCCTTTTATTTTATTAGCATTAGTGTAGTGGACGAAATTTATATTAACAAGATTTACAATCGCATGCAGGGGCTGTTGGGTATCGATTTCCTAAATAACATTATAAAGAAAACGTTTAGTCTCTGTTTGGTATCGATTAAAATTCAGATTTAATATAAGTTAAAGTCAACAATTAATTTTAACAACATAATTCATAGATCCCATAATTTTTTAACTACACATTTTCATCAACTTTTATTAAAATATATTAAAAACCTGAATTTAATCTCTACCAAACTGTGGCTAAAACTTTTACATTTTTTTCTTTAATCTTAACTGTTATTGTACAAATAGTAAATAGTAAATTGCTTTATCTATGAACAAGTTAAATAAGTAATGCCACTATGAACAAGAAATGATAAGTATGCAGATAATTTCTCTATTAAAAGAAATATGATTATTAGATATGATACATTAAAAACTGAATAATTTTATTTATGATGAGGATTATCGATAGATATATGATATATATTCAGTGGTGGACCCAGTATTAAAGTTCAGTCCTGGAAGACGTTGACCATTGACCATCAACTATCAGCGATCGGAAGAGCGAGGTTCTAAGAATGTAATGAAGTTTTTCTAATGAAAAAGCAATAGAATCAGATTCTTCTTTGGACAGCATAGGGGGAGAGGTAGAAGGATCTTTTACTGGGAAGTAGATATGCATTTTGTTCCCAACTTTAAGTTCATTGACATAAAAGAACACATTTAGTTCAGGATCGAAGTGATTCGTTTGAGATAATGAACGATCATGTAAATTCTTGCCAGAATTTCATCCCTACTAGCATGAACTCGAAGATGATTATCTTTAGAAATATGTCCTAATTTCATATCATATACCTCTCTTTCGACCTTTTCCCCATGTGCTTCAGTTGTGTCTAATGAGGATAAGAGTCCATAATACTCAAAAGGGAAGAATTCGAATGCAAAAGAATACAATGTACTCAAACTCAAAAACTCCACGCAAAATACATACTACAGGATAAAGGCAAAAGACTGCAAGTACTAAACTGAAATTACCCCAACATATGAATACTGAGTGAGACTAATAAGGATCGTCAAGTCTCGCCAAACTAGTCCATGACTATCTTAGAATTGTCGTCAAATCCCCAAATCAACATAAGTTCACATGAAATCTAAGGCTTGCGAAAATCTCATGGCTTAAAATTTAGCAGAAAATGGGATAATTGAATAAAAATTTATGTTCATAAAATTATACTGCAGAAAGAAGGAAGAAAATAGGGAAAATTGCGGCCGTGGTCCCAAACCTTTCATTTTGTTGTAGATTACA